TTTTGGTGGCATTATGGTGGTTTGTGTAAATTTTCAAGTGCTATTGTCACAGAGAACAAAGCGCCTCTAAATTAGTTTGTTATTTTTATTGGGTTATAAGTCGATTTAGTTATTGTTTTATCGCTGCAACATAAAGCAAAAACTGCAGTGGCAAGTTAAAACACTGGTAAAATAACACTATTTATCTACTGCTTTATCGTAGTTTTTTAAAACGTAGTGACCTTTTACATTTTTCAATGGATTATTTTTCGTCTTCGGCAGGTTAAAATGGATCGATATCACATATTCCGGGAATATTTTGTACTCTTCGTTCTTGGATTTCTTCTTAAGGTAAATTATCTTGAAATATTATAATGAATGCTATTTTGTTAAAATTTGTATACAGTAAATTTTACCTATAGGCAACAGACAATGCCAGTGTACAACTCCAACATACTAACAATTAGAATATAATAATTTTAAGTCCCGTCATGCTGTGATCTGTCCCATAATAATTTCTCTAGTAGAATAAGCGATAAAAACCAGGTAAAAAAGTAATGGTACTGGCTATGAAAAACAACAACAACAACAACAAAAGAAGTATTTCTGATAAAATGACGAAAGCACCTTGTACTGTACTTTTTTTTTTCCCCTTTGTTGACATCAGGTTTTCAGAACCCCCAGGGGACGGGGGGGGGGGCACTACTTGCTTACATGGGCTGTATAGATAGGTGAGGAGCCATAGGGTATGGTTATTTCGTCGTTTTGTTTTTTAAAATTAAGGAATCGATTTTGGCCATTTCGGTCTTAAATAAAAAAAGGGTGTGTTTTTTGCCTTTTGGTTTTGAATTGGGTATGTTTTTAGACGAAGCTATAAAAGAATTTAAGCATTGCCTTTAATGATGATTTCCAGTCCGTACTGCGCAGTCTCGGCACCCAAATGTTTATAAACATCATAAATCTCACTCGATGGAATGTGAATGATGTTATTCGCTACGTACCACATACCTTATCTTTGAGGCCCTTCAAATTCTTTTTCCAACAGCTTCACTGATTGATGTTCAAAGCTGTCGGTAGTTGTTTCATCAAGTGATATAAGAAAGAGCGAAGTATTAAGCTTCGACCCCTTCGCATCGATAATGGCGGTTGTTTTGAAACTTTGAAATTACTTCATGTAATTAGTTGCGAAACGTACGGACTGGAAATCATCTTTAACATCTTTACTAGGGACCTAATTGTAAGTCAGGTCTGAAACAGGGTACAGGTCTTAAATAGGGTATCAAATATCTGGTCATAAATAGGGTAGGGAAAATTGCAGATTTTGGTCTTAAATAGGATAGGGTTTTGGAAGGCGGGTCGCACACCCCTTCAATATTTTATTCTGGGAGTACCCCTCCCTCCTGGCTAAGAATTCCAAAAATGATTAAATTTGAAATTATTGTATATGGCGTTATGAACTAGATCTTTCCCACATGATTAGTTGTAATAACTGTGTGGTCTTTTTCTGGAGTGACCAGGTCGATTGATCTATAGCTTAAAATTGTCGAGCACTCGACGTCTTTCACCAATGTCGACCGGGTTCAACTCCGTGCTGTGCTAATGTGCAGGTTGAGTTTGTTTTTGGTTTTCTGAGGATTTTTTCCTGGTTCTACGGTTTTTCGCCTTCTGAATTTTTTTTAAACTCCAATTCGACCAGGATATAGAACGACCCGCATGAAAACCAACTAGTGTTGATGTGACTTGCTCTCTAAATGATGTAATTTAAATACTTTTCTCACCTCACATGTCTTGCTTTATTTTCAGGAAATCACTTGCAATGGTAAAATAAAGCAATTTCAGGCGGAAGAAGACCGACAGGTAAGTTATAAAGATGCTAAACTCGATAAAACTAGATTACCTAGATAAAGGTGTTTTTATTGATAATGACTAATTTTTTATCGCTGTTGTTTCTTACCATACATGAGCATACTGTGTACAAACGAGCCACTGATGTCTCCAGTGCTGAATACATTTACAATAGGCACAGACAAACCTTCAAATCTGAGGTAGGAAGATCGCTCTTTTCATTCTCACCGACTTCATGAAATATTTTTATTTTCTAATTAACCACGTTATATCATAATCCCCACCTCTCAATTCTTCGCTATATATACGTTGAAACTTTGTAGCATACGTAGCTGTGATGCATACAAATTAAGATTAGTAATATCGGTGTTAAAATATATTTTAACAATTTTCGTATTTGACGCCACTCTTTTGCAAAATGACAAAATGGGCGCTTTCCATTTGACCAGAACCTTCAGGAAATTTGGAAAGGAAAGAAAAAATTTTCTATAAACCCTAATTCGATATATTTCCCAAATGCAAATCACTTAACCTAGGGCTTTCCACAGGTTGCTCTAGATTTCCCAAAACCTTGCCCAAAAGTTGCTCTAAAAAAGAGAAAAAAATGGGTTGCTCCCTTCCTTTATTTGGTCTGATGCAAAAGTAGAACAAAAGTAAGATTTCTAAGCATTTTTACGCAATTTTGCGGTGTAACCAGCGTTGCTAAATAACTTTGTCCTCAATTAAAACCACAAAATGTTTGACTAAAGAGTAGCGAACGTTTGGGTGTCCCTCGCGACCTTGTCCTCGTTTCCTGAAATTCCGGAAAATATTGTTATATTCGCCACTGGAAATTTCCGAAATGTCAAAAAGAGAAAGCGTCCTAGGGCTTCGATGATTGGTTATTGCTGCTCAGATGGACTTTTATATCGTGATTCAGCATTGGTGAATGCATCTTACTACCTCGGGGGAAGGGGTAAAAAAGACATTTGCACAGAGGTTGAATGTGATAAATCATTGTTGCATCATCTCAAGTGAAGGCTTATTTCCTTCATCCTGTTTGCCAGAGACTTCTTAAGCGTATATCTGGTTTGGAATAACCCAGTGTAAGTTTTTGTAAACTGACAATCATTCTTATTTCCAGGCTACCTACTACGGCGAGTATTCCGAGGGTGGCGCATGCGCTTTAGATCCACTCTCCCCAATGTCTTCTCAGCCTGGTTGGATAAGAGTGGCTGCAGGTTCAGATGACTTTCAAAAATCTCTCGGCTGTGGAATGTGCGTGGAAATTACAGGTTCAGGAAAAGGAAGTGGATCTGATCCCGTCACTGGAGTTACCAAAGCCATTGTTCATGATCTGTGCGGAGGCTGTGGCAAAGGTGATTTTCATATGAGCATAAAATAACCAGAGTGATGGCTTTGCAATGTAGACCACTGGAGTGAAAGAAGTTCAACTCCCACATGATTGGTTTGGCTCAAGAGGTTTAAGGCCTGGGTCAGGAATGTAAAGTAAGAAAAATCTTTCACCCAAGCCTAAATGACACCGACATGGCGGCCACATTGAGTGTTTGGGATACCAATATGGCTACCATGACGTCATGAGAAAACACTCTATAAGGTTAAAGGGTTTTAAGGTTGAAAAGTTTATTTCCTTCCCTTTCCGGTCACACGACGGTAGCGTCATAATACACAACATTGCGAAGAAGGCTTAAATTGGGTTTATATTTACATTCAGACAACTGTCTTTTAAAATTTTAAGGATTTCGAAATTATAGAATGATTTCAAACGATAGAAAGGCCAGAAAACTACTGAAAAAGATTATTAAATATGGATGGGATGAAGTTACAAAGAACCCCTCCGATTAACCGCCATATTTTGTTCGCCACTGAACGAAATCTCTCTGTTGACTTCAGGTGGTTATGATCTGTTTATCCCTGGTGACGGTAGATGGGATATCGAAACAAAAGCTATTGACTGTCCAACTGTCCCGGGCAAGGATGGGAATATCATGTTCAGATTTACTGGAAGCAACCCGTGGTATGTCAAATTGCAAGCGCGAAACATCAAGTAAGATCACCACTTATTTTCGTAATTTAGTCGATTTGTTACTATTCGTGTCTTTAACGCTTCAAACAATTTGAGATGGGATATTTTCGCGCTTTCTAACTAACAAACAAACAAACAAACAAACAAACAAACAAACAAACAAACAAACAAATGATGTTCTAAATCTGCTCCGTTGAAAGTGTTTGGTCAGTTTAGCCATGATGGTATTGGCTGAAATACTTCTAACAGATCGACTTCATTTGAACAAAAATAGACGGACCTCAAACCGACCAATTTGACTAAAAACTGACGGATCAAAACCGACCAATGACTGATGACAAACTTTACACGAGTCTTTCATCCAATACCATCATGGCTAAACTGACCAATCACTTTCAACGGACCAGACTTATAACATCATCGACTGACAAACATTATTCACTTGACTCTGAAGATGGTTTCAGCTCAGGTTGTCGAAACTTCAGTCACCAACAACAGTTCTTTTGAGAACTACCCTCGCCCGGACGATCACACTATACGAACTACTGATACTCCTGGGTTCAAACCATTTACAATAAACAAATGATACCTTCATTTCACACGCGCATAAGATGCGCGAGTGACTGTTGAGTTCCAAATGTTACAACATCTATTTCTAACCGTAGACTGAGAAATGTTTCTCCTGACATTATTCATGCCTACATTTACATTAAGGAGATAGAAAAATCAGTCCACTCAGCTTTTTGTGATGAGCTTGATGAATTGTAGTTCTTCTCGTTTCTCTTCATGTGTTAAGCAAAACATCCATGCTCCCTTTTGCACTTTACCACATCAGATCTAACTACTTAAAATGACCTTTCATTTTATTTCAAAATGTTTTCTGAGATATCAGAAGCCAGAAGCAGGTTTCGGTGAATTGCACCCTAGATTCTTTCACATCGTTGGCTAAAAAGTTATTTGAAAAACTGCATTAAATATGTTGCAAGTTAGAAGCAAAAACTAAGCTTCACAGTTACTTGACAATGACATCCGATGATGTCGAAACGACGTATATTTATTTCGCTAATATTTGTGTTGAAAATTTCCCTCAAGCCTTACTTATTCGGTTTTGTTAAAGTTGGTTATTTTTAGTTTCAATTTATTTTCAGAGTTCCGGTAGCTGGTATGGAAATCCTTAAAAATGGAAAGTATTCTTGTCTCAAGAGGACTGGTGACAATTACTTTATCGGTGATGGTCTGGGTAAAGTTGACTTTCCCATGACTGTACGAGTGACCGCGGTGACAGGAGAACAGAGGG